TTGTGGGGGAGTGAAGACAAATCATGATGTCACTCCCCACCTTATATAGTTTCTCCATATGGCGGGAACCCTTTGTTTCAAGCTAAGTTCCAGGCCCAGTTCATGGAAAAATACAGGTACCAAGATGGAATTTAGTGTCATGTGGTCTGCTCACATGCCCTTGCATGTCTTGCTGAGTCATAGCAGCCATTACTCATAGGCTGGCTAAAATGTTCCCCGGTGAGGCCAAACCTTTTCCATGGTCCATTGTCTTTGCTGATGAGCTATTTGCACTGTCTAGCTTCTTCACTGCTGTACCCGAAAGGCTAATTGTGGATGTTACCCAGAGTAAGCACATTTGAAATACAGACACATAGTTAATATTAATAACTTCAGAAACAAAATGAAACATGCATACAAATAGAATAATCATATTCAGCAAATCATAACTTTTCCATAGACACCTCACGACACATTTTGTACAAGATGCATCATGTCATAATCATATCATAATGATACCACTATGATGAATATGGGGTACTGTGTAACACCTGCATCCCATGCCTCTCCTGCTGAGGTGTCCATGGGTGCCTAAGAGTTCCAGGGAGAAACTGTGTTGTTGTGAGACCCTGCCAGCATGGAGGCACGTGCTTCCCAGCCCCCAGGAGCCAGCGGGCTTGGATGCCCTGGCCCAGGGAGGTGGTGTTGGAACATTCCTCCCAGAGGCGACACATGGGGTGGTCACGTGCCCCCCCCCCTCCCTTGGGCCCCCCCCCCCCCCCCCCCCCAGTATCAGCAGGTACGTCGTCTCTGCAGGAGACTGTGTAAATGTGAGTCCTCCAGGGTCATAGAGATGAACCAAAAGACTGTATAGAGAGGAGTCCTCCAAGCTCTCTCATACACAGATAACTGAAGCTAGGGAAGCCCATTTTCTTCATTCCCAGTGGTATGTGTTCTGTACTCTAAGTGTAAGTGCTATAATTTGGGGGAAGAAACATCTTTTTTTCACAGATATCGGAAGTTGGAAACCTGCTTTAAATGCACCCGCTACCGACACCTACAGAATCATTACTTTGTCTGTTTTGTATATTTAGATTTGAAGCTCTTTCCCTTAGGAGCTGTCTCTCATGATGTGTATGTCGAATACAATACCGAGCACAATAGGGCCTTACTCTTGGGTGTAGCCTCTAGCTGCTACTGTATTAAAAATAATCCTGGTATTAATAAGACCAATTACTGTGTAGTCAGACAAGAATGAAACGGGGTAAATTGTGGTATGAGGAACAGGCCGAATATCAGCAGAGAAAAACTCCCCAGTCTAGCGATCTAAATTCCCAATCCTGCAAAATTTCACTGTATTACTGCCAAAGGCCCCATTGATTTCAATGGGCCTGAGCTAGAATGAGGCAGAGAGTAAGGTTGTGACAACAGGGGTCTTGAGCTGAACCCATTCCAGAGATCAGAATCTCTCTCTCTCTCTCTCTCTCTCTCTGTACATTTCCTGCTAACTCGCTTAGAGGCCAGTGGTCTGATTCTCCTCTCACAACAACTTCACACTGTTGTAGACAGTTCATGGGGTTCCAATGGGATTACTTCTGTTTTACACCAGGGTGAGGGAGAGGAGAATGACCCTGTGAACCCAGTCATACTACTCCTGATTTGTGCTGGGGTCAGGAGAGGGGGACAAGATTTCAGCAAGTTTTAGCTCAAAGGGAAGTTTGACTAGCTTATTACAGGGCAGGGATATGGTTGTATGAGTGACCTCACTGTGCATTTCCATTCCACACCATGTTTGTATTGTTTTTAACTTTAACCTTAACTCTGGAGTTGGTAGCCATTTAATGCAAAACAAAGGACACTGAGAATGGGAGAAACTAAATTCTACTTTATTATTTCAAAGGAGGAACAAAGACAGACTCCCTTCCCCACCCGCAGCCCAGCCCAGTTCAGTCCCAGCCCAACACATTCCTGGACCCGACTCCCTCATGCACCAGCACCAGCACCAGCACCATTTACAAACTGGTTGGAAAGTGCAGAGAAGCCATGAGAGATGCGGGGACCCAGTCACAAAAGCAAACACTCCAAAAGCAGAAAACCCAAATTGCTGAGGTTGGAGGGATGCAGGGTGGGGTGAGTGGGGCAGAGACAGCCTCTCTTGTCCCAACACAGGACACTGCAGTAGATTCAGTGCGGAGGGATGACCAATCGGGTTTAGGGCTCCTCATATCTCTCTGGCCTCAATGATTGGGGTCGGCCTGGCTTCAAGGCTGGCCACGTCTGTTGACATCCCCAGCTCACTTCTTGCCTGCACCCCACTTCATCATCTCAGCAATCGGGAGATACTGTCCCCCTGCCCCCATCATTCTTTGTGGGGTGTCATTCATGACCCTTTAGAGGTCAGGGGCAGCTTCACACGACACTCATATATTCTCGTCTCTCTCTGGCTCTGACGCAGGGAGTTCACAGTTCTCAGCCTCGGTTGTCTGTCTCTGAAGAGCAAACCCAGCAGCTTCCCAGCTCTGATCCCCCACCCCCCATCCTGACTGTTTCTCACATCACTGCAGGGATCAGGCAATAAACTTCTTTCCCTGTTTCAGTCTCTGTCTCTTGGAGTGTGAATCTTGCTCTCACCCTCAGTGTTTATGCTGAGAGATATTGATCATTGTCATTGTTCCAACACACAAAAGATCTCATGAAAAAAGGGTTAAGTTAAAATAAAATATTAAAAAAAAAAAAAAAAAAAAAGGCTCTTCTGGCAATGATCATTTGTCTCATGAAGTCATCAACAAATCTGAGCTACATCGTGTCAAATTAAACTAATATTTAAGTATGTGACCAAACGGCCTTCACAAAGAGAGAAAATCCCACAATACAGGATGGGATATAAAACACTTTCACATTCATAAAGTGAAACCTCAGAGAATCTTTTAAGACTCAAAATCAGGAAAATAAACGCACCCATGTTCTTCTGAAGTGGCTAAACCTGTTTTACTTCTCGCCTCATTATTTGGGTGTATTAGTTACAAAAGTTATAGTATCATTATGCTAAAAGAAAGAGAAAGAAAGACAAAAAATCCCCAAACTTCCCATCTGCAAATGATCTGGACTAGCCTAGAAAAATCCTGGAAGCAATTTTACTAATAGATGGAAACAGGGCTATAAGATTGGACAGGTCAAAACTGTGCTTTGAGGGTCATTGGGATTTCCCTGCCCATTCCCAGGTCTATGACACTTTCTTCTCCAGCCCTCAGGAGTCTAATTTAGGATCATGGAAATCAAACTGTGATTCGTAAGCATGGAGAACCAAGGCCACTGTGGTAAGGTGAAGGGGTAGAATGGGGAGAGGATAAAACTCTCTATTGCTTGGACAGAGGTTACTGTGTCAAGGGTGGACTGATGGTGATGGTGGGGGAGGGAATCCCTGCAACTCACCCCATCACCCTTGAATAGCACAGAAGCTAGAACAACATTTACTGTCACTGCTCTGATTTTTTAGCATCTAGTTAATTCTGGTCCATAAGGTAGAAAATGTACAAACAATAAATGGTTTTCACCTCGGCCTGCAGTAATGTGAGAATATCTGGGAATGAGACCATCTGGCCCCAAAAGGGGAACTCAGGGACAAGCCATCACTCTGCTAACAGGGGGGTAAAATGCTCAGGGTCAGTTTATACTAGGAATCTGATGGAGGGTCACAGAGATTCACTGGCTAATCCCGACCACATTTCCTAACATAGAGAGAACCTCAGAGGTTGATGCTGTGGGGGCAGAAGTGGGATCTCTGGGCCTCCTACAAAAGGCCCTGTGGAAATCAGTCCCTCTCATTGGTGCTTTCTGAATGCAGAGGGGACAGGGAGAAGGTAAAGAGGGAATGAATGATCAGAGGCAGCACCTCTCCACCCCGGTGATCTCCCTCTCTTCTTATCCCATGATCCTCAAACACTCGATAGTCCCAGAACCCAGCTTGCTCTGCTTCCTAGTTCCAGCAGCTCCAACCATTCAATCCCCAGTTTCCTGCACAAAATGATCCTCCTGGTCCCTCAATATTTGATCCCACAGAACCCAGCACTCTGGGGAATTTGGGGAGGGAAGGAGTTACTTTTTGGACAGCCCCCTTCCAGGAAACAGCTCCAGGTAATTGGAGTAGCCCAGTCCAGGGGCTGGTGGAAGATGAGGGGGTGGGACAGGTGTCTAGAGGGAAAGTGGGGCCTGGCCCAAGTGTCCTTCTCTTAATCTCCATGGAAGGGGGATCCCATCTAGGAAGGATGGGAGAGGGGGAAACTTCAGCCAGGCCGAGGGAGTGTCTGGGGAAGTTTTTCTCTCTTCCTTCCCCCACCTGTGGCCCATCAGCTCAGCAACCAAGGCTGCAGCAGGGAGATGGGGCTGATTGGGGCTTCCCATCCTCTGCCTTGGGTTTGCTTAGACCAGTCTAATATGGTGTTAGCTACACTAGGAGAATTTTCCACACTGGGAACATCTCAGAGCTTTCTTCCCTGTGTGGATTTGCTGATGCCTGATACTATGGGAGCAACCAATTTCCCCCACAATTTTCCCCCACTTTCAAGGTCTCTCTGTTGTGTGGATCACTGATATGTGAACTCAGGTTGAATCTTTTCCCACAGTCAAGCTGTCACTCAGTAAGAGACTTAAAGGTGGCAATCTTGCAACAGAAAAGCTTCAAAAACAGACTCCAACGAGAAACTGCTGAACTTGAATTAATATGCAAACTAGATACCATCAATTTAGGCTTGAATAGAGACTGGGAATGGCTGAGCCATTACACACATTGAATCTATTTCCCCATGTTAAGTATCCTCACACCTTCCTGTCAAACTGTCTGAAATGGGCCATCTTGATTATCACTACAAAAGTTTTTTTTTTCTCCTGCTGATAATTGCTCATCTTAATTAATTAGCCTCTTAGAGTTGGTATGGCAACTCCCACCTTTTCATGTTCTCTGTATGTGTATATATATCTCCTTACTATGCATCCGATGAAGTGGGCTGTAGCCCACGAAAGCTTATGCTCAAATAAATTTGTTAGTCTCTAAGGTGCCACAAGTACTCCTGTTCTTTAAGCTATTTCTAGGGTCTCACCTTTGTGGAGTCTCTGATGTTTAGTAAGCTCTGAGCTCCTACTGAAGCTTTTCCCACAGTCAAGGCATTTATGAAGGTTATAACCTGTGTGGATTCTCTGATGTATAATAAAGTTTGATCGCTGATTGAAACTTTTCCCACACTGCAAGCATTTATGGGGGCTCTCTCCTGTGTGGCTTGCCTGATGTCTAATAAAGTTTGTTCTCTCAGTGAAACATTTCCCACAGTGGAGGCATTTATCGGGTTTATCTCCAGTATGAATTTTCTGGTGTCTAATAAGGTGTGAGCTCTGAATGAAACTTTTCCCACACTCAAGGCATTTATAGGGTCTCTCCTCCGTGTGTGTCCTCCAATGTCTAGTGAGGTATGAGCTGTGGCTAAAGTTTTTCCCACAATCCAAGCACTTATGGGGTCTCGCTCCAGTGTGGGTTGTCTGATGTGTAACAAGGCTTGATTTCTGAATGAAACATTTCCCACAGTCCAGGCATTTATATGGCCTTTCTCCCGTGTGGATTCTCTGATGTTTAGTAAGATTTGATTTGTGACTGAAACTTTTTCCACAGTCCAAACATTTATAGGGCTTCTCTGCTGTGTGGATTCTCTGATGCACAATAAGGCCTGAATTGTGAGCAAAACTTTTCCCACAATCCAAGCATTTATGAGGTTTCTCTCCTGTGTGTATTGTCTGATGTGAAATAAGATTTGTTCTCTGAATGAAACTTTTTCCACAGTCCAAGCACTTATGAGGTCTCTCTCCTGTGTGGATTGCTTGATGTGTAACAAGAGCTGATCTCTGTGTGAAACTTTTCCCACACTCCAAGCACCTATGGGGGCTCTCTCCTGTGTGGATTGCCTGATGTCTAATAAGGTTTGGTCTCTCAATGAAACTTTTCCTACAGTGGAGGCATTGATGAAGTTTATCTCCTGTATGAATTCTCTGATGTCTAATAAGGTGCGAGTTCCGAATGAAACTTTTCCCACACTCGAGACATTTATAGGGTCTCTCTCCCAAGTGGGTCCCCCAATGTCTAATGAGGTATGAGCTGTGGCTAAAGCTTTTCCCACAGTCTAAGCACTTATGGGGTCTTTCTCCAGTGTGGATTGTCTGATGTGTAACAAGGGTTGACTTCTGAATGAAACATTTCCCACAGTCTGGGCATTTATATGGTCTTTCTCCCGTGTGGATTCTCCGATGTTTAGTGAGGTTTGAGCTGTTACTGAAGCTTTTCCCACAGTCCAAGCATATATAAGGTCTCTCTCCAGTGTGGGTCCTCCAGTGTGCAGTGAGGTATGAGCTGTGGCTAAAGCTCTTCCCGCACTCAAAGCATTTATGGGGTTTCTCTCCCATATGGATTGTCTGATGTGTAAGAAGGTGTGATTTCAGAATGAATTGTTTCCCACATTTGAGGTACTGATTGGGTTTCTCTTTCTTGTGATTTGTCTGCTGGGCTGTGGTTTCCTCAGGATCCTTGCATCCTCCCACATATTTAATAGATTTAGCCACTTTCTTGGTAGGCTGGTTTCTGAATAGCCTCTCTGACCAGTGCTGATTTCCAGAGGCTTTTCCTTGTTCCAAGCACTGCGAGAAATTCCCTAAAGCTCTTCTCCCAAAGGTCCTCTGTGGTTCCACTTTCCCAGGAAATTCCTGATATTGATGATCCTCCTCTTTCTCACTCTCTCGCTTATCACCTGCTGGGAGAGAGACAGACAATCCAGGCAGAAGTCATTGTCTGTGGTGGGGAGAAAGAGGAACAGCACAAAGGGAAAATCCAACACAATAAATTTTCAAAGACTGTACAATTGGATTCTGCCTCCACATCCCATCCAAACACTCACAGGGAAGGAAACGCCTGCAGCTGGCAGGATGGGTGGAAAGCCATGAATGATATATACTGACTACAGCCCTGACCTGGGTGAGATGAGGCAGAACTGAGGTGCTCGCTGACACCACATTTTTGGGATTCTCAATGTTTTCCCTCAATCGCCAGATGGTTTCAGTGTCAGTTTTACCAACTCCTTACCTATGTGGGTATCTCTCAGAATCTCCCTTTCCTGGCAGGCCTGGAGATCGGGTACCCATGGCTCTTCCCATCGTTCCAGCCGGGTGATCAGGTCAGGTTTGGGAATGGGAAATCCTGGTCAGGGGTGAAAAGAGACAAGATCAGGGTGCATGGAGGATTGGTAGAGTATTTGTCACAAAGTACATTCCTGGAGTTGAACCTGTGCCTGTGCTGGGGCAACATGGAATCCAACATAGAATGTGGTCACTGAGCCCCCTTGGGAAAGGCAGATGTCTGGGGAGGTGAGAGGAATTGTTACACCCTCACTAGGAGTCTGCAGGATCTGACACACACACAACTTTGGAGTTAACTCCCTGTCTATTTCTAAACCTGCAATGCCCAGACCCCTCCTCATGGCTGGAGCTCGTCCCAAGAAGGGAGGTGAACAGGATGTGACACTGCACCGCATATTCTTCATAGTGATATTATTATGAGATAATTATAGCATAATTATTATTCCTTTTTTGCAAGACAGGTCATGTAAGATCTTATTGGAAAAGTTATGATTTGCTGAATATGAATATCCAATTTGTATGCAAGTATAATTTTTGTATCTAAAGTTATGATTATTGACTCGGGATCTGTAATTCAAATGGGCTTACTCTGGAAAACACCCACAGACAGCCTTTCAGATACAACAATGAAGAAGCCAGACGGGGCTGATGGTCCATCAGCAAAGACAATGGACTGTGGAATAGCTTAACCTTTCTGTGGGCATTTTGGCCAGCCAGTTAGCAGTGGCTGCTATAACTATACAAGGACATGTGATCAGACCACATGTCTCTGGACTCCATTTTGGGATGTCAGTATTTTTCCACAAACCAGTCTGGGAACCAAGTTTTGAAACAAAGGGTTCCCACCGCATGCTAAAGCTATCCAAGGCAGGGAGTGAATTCATCTGTTGTTCTTCACTCCCCATACAAGAAGACTCCTGGAAACACCTGAGGAACAAAGACTGAACTGGGGTAAGTGCTGGATCCAGGCTGAAGGGATTTCTAGCCTGTGTATGAAGACCTGAGAAACCCAAGCTGTAAAGCTAACACAGCTTGTGCCTTAAGAATCTACAAGTCTGCCTGTACCATCAGTTAGGGTGAGAATCTGCTAACATATCCAATGTATATTAAGTATATTAAGCTTAGTTTGTGGTTTTGTTTATTTGCTAGGTAATCTGCTTTGATCTGTTTGCTATCACTTATAATCACTTAAAGTCTATCTTTTGTAGCTAATAAACTTGTTTTATGTTTTAATCTAAACCCAGTGTGCCTTTAAGTGAAGTGTCTGGGGAAAAAATCTTAGCTTGATTTAACACAAGTTTCTTGCATTTCCTCCCCACACTGAGGGGGCAGGCGAACTCTGTGACCTTACCCTGTGCAGCGTAATATGGTATAATTTTGGGTTCATACTCCAGAGGGGGTGCATGCCTGGGGAGCTGGGAGTTATCCTGGTTGTAGCATTCCTGTTGTTGGTTCATGCAGGGGCTGGACAGAGAGCCTGCATGTAACTGCACGGGGTGTGTCCCTGCCTGTGTGGATGCTGGTGGAAGTGTGGGACTGGGAGTGGGTCTGCAGCTTGTCACAGAAGCACAGTTTGAGAGGGAGCCCAGGCCTTGTGGGTCAGAGGGCTCAGTGGTACCCCAGTTCCAGGTGGCACCCCAGGGGGAACCAGTCACACAGGGATTCTATGTGTGCCTGAGAAATAATACAGACAGGACAATACATGGCTTCTGCCCCCTTGAAAGCTGGAGGGGTGGGGATGAGATAGAATGTCCATTAGGTTTTGACACCCCTATCTCATTGGAGGGTTTAAGGAGATGAAAGTCTCTCTCACACAGCAGCTGTGGATTATAGGGTTCGTTCACCTCCAGTCAGGGCCGGCTCTGGCTTTTTTGCCACCCCAAGCAAATAAAAAAAACTGCGGGGGGGGGGGGGGGGGGGGCGGGGCGGCGAAGCAAAAAAAAAACCACCACACCTGTGGGGTGGCCGGAGCGGCAAAGCAGGGGAATAAAAAACCCACGGGGCGGCCGGAGTGGCAAAGCACACACACACACTACGGCCTTGGCTACACTTGCAGATGTACAGCGCAGTGAGTTAAACCTGACTTCGTGCAGCTAAGTAGGGAAAGCGCTGCAGTCTGTCCACACTGACAGCTGCCCAGCGCACTGTCATGGCCACATTTGTGGCAATTGCAGCGCTATTGGGAGCGGTGCATTATGGGCAGCTATCCCACAGAGCACCTTTTCCCATTCTGGCGCTGTGGGTTATGGGAAGGGGGCGTGGGTGCGGGGGATTCTGGGTCCTGCCCCAACGCTCCGTGATGCATCACTTCGCATCCCAGAAATCCCTTTGTTTCTGTCCAACTTTGGCGCCATCTTTCAACGGTTTCTGTGCAGCGCGATCTGTCTGCGGGAAATGGAGTCCAAACTGCTGAGGCGTATGCTGACGAGTCTCGCCAGCACGTCACGTTTGGCTGTCGAACTATTCCTTAAGATCCAAAGTGACAGCGAGAGTGAAGGTGAGGAGTCCGACGATGCTATCGAGCCGTGTAATGTGTACAACACGAAATTGCTTGTGGCATTCACGGACATGCTCAGCACCGTGGAACGCCGCTTTTGGGCTCGGGAAACAAGCACTGAGTGGTGGGATCACATCGTCATGGAAGTCTGGGATGACGAGCAGTGGCTGCAGAACTTTCGGATGAGAAAAGCCACTTTCATGGGACTGTGTGAGGAGCTTGCCCCCACCCTGCGGCGCAAGGACACGAGATTGAGAGCTGCCCTGCCAGTGGAGAAGCAAGTGGCTATTGCAATCTGGAAGCTGGCAACTCCAGACAGCTACTGGTCGGTCGCAAACCAGTTTGGAGTGGGAAAGTTGACCGTTGGAATCATGTTGATGCAAGTTTGCAAGGCCATTAATCACATCCTACTCAGAAGAACCGTGAATCTGGGTAACGTGCAGGAAATAGTGGATGGCTTTGCACTAATGGGGTTCCCTAACTGTGGAGGGGCGATAGATGGGACGCACATTCCTATTCTGGCACCACCCCACCTAGGATCCGAGTACATTAATCGGAAGGGGTATTTCTCTATGGTTCTCCAGGCGCTTGTGCATCACCGTGGGCGTTTCATTGACATTAACACAGGCTGGCCCGGAAAGGTGCATGACGCACGCATCTTTCGGAACACTTGGCTGTTCAGAAAGATGCAGGCCGGGACTTTTTTCCCAGAGCGGAAGATCACGGTAGGGGAAGTTGAAATGCCCATTGTGATCCTTGGAGATCCCGCTTACCCGTTAATGCCGTGGCTCATGAAACCCTACACAGAGAGCCTTGACAGCAGCAAGGAACGGTTCAACTACAGGCTGGGCCGGTGCCGAATGACTGTGGAGTGTGCCTTTGGCCGTTTAAAGGGCCGCTGGCGATCTCTGTATGGGAAGCTGGACTTGGCCGAAAACAGCATCCCCGCGGTTATATCCGCGTGCTGTGCCCTCCATAATATTTGTGACGGGAAGGGTGAAAGCTTCACTCAGGCATGGACCTCTGAGGTTCAACACCTGGAGGCTGAATTTGCACAGCCAGAGAGCAGGGCTATTAGAGGGGCCCAGCGCAGGGCTGCAAGGATTAGGGATGCCTTGAGGGAGCAATTTGAGGCTGAAAACCAGCAGTGATATCTGGTGCCCTGCACGGGAGTGAAGTGCAGTAGTTCCAATCTTTAGGAATCAGTGTTTGCTAAGCAGACAAGCAGACTTGCAGTGCCTGTTTATTTCCTGTGCTAAGGAGTCTTTTACTTTATGCAATAATAAAGAATGTTTTCAAAGCCAAAAAATCCATTTATTGAAAAGAAACAAGGGGGTGGAGTGGGGAACAGTACAATTACAGATTCGCGTATGTCCTGTCTGGTGTGCTGTGCACTGAGTGCTGCACTTCAGGACAGCTATACTGCATGGTGATGGGGGTTGAGTGCAGAGGGTAAGGGTTGTGGTTTTCAGGGCTGGGTGGTGAAGATACTGGTGTTGGAGGCAGCGGGTGGTGTGAAGAACACGGAAGTTGGGGAAAGTGGGTTGGAGGTGACAGTGGGGCACAACGGAAAGAGTTTTGGGACAAGGGCTGGGGGTGGGGTGGCGTTTGCGGTACTGCTCCTCTTTCTGCATGGCTACCAGCTCCTGGATAGTGTCTGCTTGGCGCTCCAGGATGCTTATGAGCCGATCCGTGCTTTGCTGCCGGTGCGTGGTGCTTTGCCGCCGGTGCACTGCATTTTCCTGGCGGATCCTGCTTTCTCTCTCCCTCCAGTTCTGTGCTTTCTCATTCTCTTTAATAGATTGCCGCATGACTGCTTGCAGCATGTCTTCTTTGCTTTTTCGCGGTCTCTTCCTGAGTCTTTGCAGTCTCTGAGCAGGCGATAAGAGGGACGGCTGAGGTCTCAAGGTTGATGCAGCTGTATAGGCAAAATGCAACATTTAACAGAGGCAGCATTGTTTATACCAGACAGAGTAATGATTCCCCCCGCACTTAAGGAGTAGAAAACACACAGGGTCTACACAATAGCATAATTTTCCCGTCCGAAACAGAGCACACATATCCCACGGGAGCCTCAAAATGGTGAGGAAGGGGGACTGATTGTTTCAGGGCTGCACTGTCCTCTGGGTTTCTGTGCCTTGGGGAGAGCCAACAGCTTCAGGGGGCACCTACACTGAACACTGTCCCAACATTTTCCACAGGAGTTCGTCCTGGACGATATCTCGCTGTTGAGGGTGACCTGGGAAGCAAGGGAGGGTCTTCTACTGTAATGTGGCTTCCGCCCTGGCCCATATGCAGCTTGCCTGTGTGCAGCAATGGTCCCCCCGCCCCTCGCGGCACAGTCACGTTAGCCTGGCTGGGACAAGGACTACGGTGGCTCTCCCGATAAACCTGCGCAAGCGCATTGCACACGTTCTGGATGAGACATTTGAGGAGATTACCGAGGCCGATTACTGTGATGTGATAAACTACATCAATGCACTATTCTGCATCTAAGCATGCATGCCTAACCCTCCTCTCCCAAAGAGCCCGCACCGAAAAAATTCCTTCCCGGAAAAAAAACCCGCTTACCGGGAACCTGCTCTTCTGTTTGTCCACCACCAAGTACCGGCCGCTGCGACTGGCTACCTTCCTCCTGGCTCGAGAAGAGCTCCTGGCTGCATGGCTCCAGGGATTCCGGGGTGTCTCCATCCGGCCCACCACCATCACTCCCGTTTTCCTCCTCCTCCTCCCCCCCACACCGGCTCTGAAGTGTCCATAGTGGTGCTCGGAGTGGAGGTGGGGTTAACCCCAAGTATCGCATCCAGCTCTTTGTAGAATCGGCAGGTCCCAGGGGGAGCACCCGAGCGACCGTTTGCGTCGCGGGCTTTGTGGTAGGCACTCCGCAGCTCCTTCACTTTAATCCTGCACTGCAGGGCATCCCGGTCATGGCCCCTTTCCATCATGTATTTTGATACCTTCCCGAAGGTATCGTAATTCCTACAGCTGGAGCGCAGCTGGGACTGTATAGCTTCCTCCCCCAAAACACTGATGAGGTCCAGCAACTTGCCATTGCTCCATGCTGGGGCTCGCTTGGCGCGTGGAGGCATGGTCACCTGGAAAGATTCGCTGATAGCACTCCACGCCACGCCAGGCTGAGCAAACAGGAAGGGGATTTTTAAATTCCCGGGGAATGTAAAGGGTGGGTCACATGGTTGGTTACCAGAGGCCAGGGCAGTAGAGTTTGAACTGATGACCAGAGTGGCTAGAACAGGCATTGTGGAATACTGCTGAATAATTCTGGAGGCCAGTCACAGCGCATTGGGCGGCCACACTGGCGCCGCAGCGCTGCAGCGGCAGCGCAATACTTCCTATTCCTCTCGGAGAGGTGGAGTACATGCAGCGCTGCAACCACGGAGATACAGCGCTGCAAATGCCTTGCCAGTGTGGACGGGGAGTGAGTAACAGCGCTGGGGGCGGCTTTACAGCGCTGCAACTCGCAAGTGTAGCCAAGGCCAAAAACACCTGCGGGGTGGCCGGAGCGGCAAAGCAGGAAAAAAAAAAAAAAAAAAACCCCGCAGGGCGGCCAGAGCCAGGGTGCAGGCAGACTCCCTGTGCTGCAGACGTGCAGCGGAGTGCGCGCCCGGTCTAGCGGGGGGCAGGGGGTGGGAGGGAGCGGGGGAGAGAGAGAGAAGTGGGGCAACCAGGGCATCAGCGGGGCGCTCGCCACGCAGCCCCTCCCACCGCGCCGCCTGCCTCCTACAGGGCGGCCAGAGCAGCAAACCAAAAAGAACAAGAAAAAAAAAAGGGCGGCCGGAATGCCGCCCCTTGGAATCTGCCGCTCCAAGCACGAGCTTGCTCGGCTGGTGCCTGGAGCCGGCCCTGCCTCCAGTCTCTCTCTCCAAAGATGCACCTGACAGATTTGGAAATGCAGACCCTATGGCTTCTAATAACAGAGAGGCCAGGAAAGCCTTACCCAGTGAGGTCACATTCTCATAATTCTCCTCCATGACTTCCCTGTACAGGGCTCTCTGACCAGGGTCCAGCAGGGCCCCCTGCCCCTCGGTGAAATACACAGCCACGTCCTCGAAAGTCACCGGCATCTGAAACAACACATTTTCCCTACTCAGCACCTGCTGACACAGCCACAATCCCACTATTCATGGGAAGGAAGCAAGCAAGCTAGCTCACCGGGGGGGAGGGTGGGAGGGAAGAACAGAGGACCAGAATCTCACCCCCACCCTCAGGGCCGGCTCCAGGCACCAGCTTGTCAAGCAGGTGCTTGGGGCGGGCACTCCGGAGAGGGGCGGCACATCCAGCTATTCGGCGGCAATTCAGCAGACGGTCCCTCACTCCGGCTCAGAGCGAAGGACTTCCCGCCGAATTGCCGCCGCATATCGCGATCGCGGCTTTTTTTTTTTGGCTGCTTGGGGCGGCCAAAACCCTGGAGCCCTGAGCAGCCAGGAAGCTTCAGGGAGTGGCAAGAAAGTGAGAGCTCCATATCCCTCCCAGCAGACAGAGGAGGGCAGCGTCTTCTCATTTACCACAAACCTACTAGGCACAGGCTGATGTGGGAAGCAGAGCTCTGGGCAGGGGACAGGGACAGGAATCCCAGCACCTTCCCTTTGTATTCCCTGCAGTCTCTACCTAGTGGGTTCAGGCTCCAGCACTGTGGTCTGTTTTCCCAGCCCTGTCCAGAGGGGTGGGGAGACGGTTCCTGTTTCAGAAATGGGGGAATGTTCGCCTCCCAATGAGCCTGTTCATAAATCAGGCCTTAGCCTGAGCAAGTCTCAGTGGGTTTTTCAGACCCTATCCTCCTCCCTACCTGACCCTGTGCATTTTTTTTTGGACTTCCTAATTATATGTTTATACTTCATTTGCCAGAGTTTATGCTCCTTTCTATTTTCCTCAATAGGATTTAACTTCCACTTTTTAAAGGATGTCTTTTTGCCTCTCACCGCTTCTTTTACTTTGTTGTTTAGCCATGGTCGCACTTTTTATTGTGTCTTTTTAATTTGGGGTACACATTTAAGTTGAGCCTCTATTATGGTATCCTTAAAAAGTGTCAATGCAGCTTTCAGGGATTTGACTTGTGGCACATACCGTTTAATTTCTGTTTAACTAACTTCCTCATTTTTTGTATAGTTTCCCTTTCTGAAATTAAATGCTACCACGTGGGGTGCTGTGGTGTTTTCCCCCTCACAGAGATGTTAAATTTAATTATATTATGGTCACTATTACTAGGAGGTCCAACTATATTCACCTCTTGGACCAGATCCTCTGCTCCACTGAGGACTGTATCAAGAATTGCCTCTCCTCTTGTGGGTTCCAGGACTAGCTGCTCCAAGAAGTAGTTATTTAAGGTGTCAAGAAACTTTCTCTCTGCATCCCATCCTGAGGTGACATGTACCCAATCAATATGGGGATAGTTGAAATCCCCCATTATTATTGAGTTTTTTATTTTTGTAGCCTCTCATCTCCCTGAGCATTTCACAGTCACTATCACTATCCTGGTCAGGCGGTCCCTACTACTGTATTCTTGTTATTCAAGCATGGAATTACTAGATTCTATGATACAGTTTGGTTCATTTAAGATTTTTATTTCACTTGATTCTACGCTTTCTTTCACATATAATGCCACTCCCCCACTAGCACGACCTGTTCTGATCTTCCGATATATTTTGTACCCTGTATTACTGTGTCCCATTGATTATCCTCATTCCATCAAGTTTCTGTGATACCTACTATATCAATATCCTCATTTAATACCAGGCACTCAAGTTCACCCATCGTATTATTTAGACTTCTAGCATTTGCACATAAGCACTTAAAACAATTGTCACTTTTTAGCTGTCTGCCATGACGTGGTGTAATTGAATGGGCCTTTTTTTTTTTTCCATTTGACTGTTTCTCATCAGATCCTTCCCATATTTTATCATCCTCCATCCTCTCCTCCTTCCTAGGACATAGGGAATCTCCATTAATAGATCCTCCCCTAAGGGATGTCTCTGTCTGAACTAAGTGCTCCTCCACACCTGTCAGCTTTCCCCCAGCTCTTGGTTTAAAAACTGCTCTATGACCTTTTTAATTGTAAGTGCCAGCAATCTGGTTCTATTTTGGTTTAGGTGGCGCATATCCTTCCTGTATAGGTTCCCCCTTTCCCAAAAGGTTCCTCACTTCCTAATAAATCTAAACCCCTCTTCCCTACACCATCGTCTCATCCACACATTGAGTCCCTGTAATTTTGCCTGTCTACCTGGCCCTGTGCATGGAACTGGAAGAATTTCAGAGAACACTACCATGGAGGTCCTGTACTTCAATCTCTTACCTAGCAGCCTGAATTTGGCATCCAGGACCTCTCTCCTATCCTTCCCTATGTCATTGGTACCTACATGTACCACGACCACCAGCTCTGCCCCAGAACTACACATAAGTCTGTCTAGATGTCTTGAGAGAGACACGGTGGGCGAGGTAATATCTTTTACTGGACCAACTTCTGCTGGGGAAAGAGATATGCATTTGAGCTACATAGAGCTCTTCTTCAGGTCTGGGAAATGTACTCAGAGTGTCACAACAAATACAAAATGTTTAGCATTAGTAGGTAACACATATTTCAAGGGACCATTCAAGGTGAAATTGGTCCAATAAAAGATATTATCTCACCCACCTTGTATTTTTAATATACTGGGACTGACACGGCTTCAGCAACACTGTATTAAATATGAAATGGCAGAACTACTAACTGTGGTATGAATCTTTTGCTAAAATCAGCATCTTAGCAGAAGACTGGAACATAGCTAACATAATCTCCAGAGGCAATCCTGGCAATTACAGGCCAGTAAAACTAACTTCAGTACCAAACAAATTGGTTGAAAGTATAGTAAAGAACAGAAATATCAGAAACATATATAAACATTATATGCTGGAGAACAGTCAACATAGCTTCTTCAGGCCAGAGAGAGGCAGACACTACTAGCCTCTTCTCTGTCTGGTGGCAGCAGCTAATGACTGAGTATCCCTGGTCTCCTCCTGCAGTCCCAGGGACAGCCAGGCAGATGTGATCTCATTCGCCCATTCGGATCTATCCCCTGCTGTTCTGGCAGTGACTCTGAGCCCTGAATCCTGCTCAGAAATCCAAGAGAGGCCCTGGTCCGTCCTGCCACCCCAGACAGTCCCAGTCAGGAACCAGAGTCCAGAAATCATGAGTTTGGCTTAAGAAAATAATGCAATCGTGTGTCTGTTGGGGGAAAGTTCCGTGGGGATTTTGCCTTGTAGCTTTGGAGCCCTTAGGGCTTAGTCCCCTGCCCCCCGCCAGCGTGACCATTTCCTCTAAAAACAAAATCCCGCGCTGGCTGCTGGGCGGGGCAGCCCCCCCTGCACTGTGTGCTGGGGGAGCTGCCATTGTATCGCTCAGGATCGCTCTCCTTTATCACTAGCCGCTCTCCCCATTCCCCAGCCAGCCTCCGTTTGCACCGCCGTTCTCCCTCCAGCCCCCCAGTCTCACACCCCTCCCCACATATTCCTTCTATCCCAGCCCTGTTCCCTCCCGCCCCAGGATTCTCCTCCCGCACCCCGAGTCTCCGGCATTGCCTCATCCTCCCTGCAGCGCAACCACTGCCCCCTGCATCCCTGTTCAGCCCCTTCTACCCCCTCACACACCCCATTTCATCCCTCAATCCCCTCCTGCCTGCCCATCCCCCCCCCGCCCCTCTTCAGCCCCTTCGGGCTCCCACCCCCCTTTATCCTCCCACGTGTCGCTGTCCCAGCCCTCCCCAGGGCGCGCGCTGGCTTCACCCGCCCTGCAAACAATGGGAGCTGGCGGCAGCTTTCCTGGGCACGGGGCAGGAATCGCAGCCAGCTCCGCTGGGAGCAGCCTGGGGCCAAACCCTCCACCTGCAGCCCGGGCGGCACCGGGGGGCACCGCTCCCTGCGGGGATGGGCAGGTCTCTTACCTTCCCTCCAAGCGGTGCCCTCCCTGGGAGCAGGGGCTGGGGCCCGGGAAGAGGGGTCCTGGCCAGGCTGGGGTCTCTGCACTAGGAGAGGCTCCTGGGGAGCACCGGGAATGTTACTGCTCGAGATTCACCTCTCCCGGCTGCAGCCAGGGCTCCGGGGTCCCAGCAGCAGCCGCCGGGGCTCAGGGATCTTGCAATGAGCGTGAGCTCCTCACAACGCCCCAGTCACTGCAGCGAGTGCGATTCACTTCCTGCTGCCCAGCCTGAGTGACCCCAGCGATCGCTCCCAGAGCCGCATCGCAGTTTCTCCTGGGTCCTAGCGAGCAACGGATTGCACTGCAGTCCCCCTGCCCTTGACCGTGCCTTCCGGGGTCCCACGTCCCCTGGGCACAGGCAGCTTCTCTCAGCATTAAGGGGGCATCATACATAGAAGCCACTGTGTCAATGAGCAGAAAGGAGACGTCAAGATCCCAGGATGGGGGAGAAGGGGCATTTCCATGGAGACTGGGCATTGTTCCATGGAGTCCCCAGTATTAACAGGGACACATGGGGGTCCTGGTCCTAGACAGGCTGCCCAGGACCGGGAGCAGCAGGAGACAGGTTTCTCGGTGACACTGACTCTATGTGTGAGTCACTCTGATCACAGACTGGCACAGGGAGCAGTTTGTCAGAGACGGTCTCTTGTCTCCACACCAGGCTCACTGACTACTAGCCCTGGGCCTGAGCTACAAGCTCCGCTCCCCTAACTCGGGCCTTGTAGCTGTCAGTGCTTTGCCATCAGGTTCCTCTGATTATTCATAGGGCCGGATTAACCCATCACTGGGTAATAGGCAACACCCCGCCATATCTGCCCCCTGCCAGTCCCCCTCTCCTGGCTGGCTCCCCCATGTGGGCACTGACAGCAGCTCCCCATGTTGCGCCTGAATCTTGGCAATGAAGCACCAGCTGGTCTGGTTCTGGGGCTGGTGCTCTGAGCACTCTGGATAGGCCCGAATGTCCCACCATGGTTGCAAGAGGGGGAGGGAGGGAAGCATCTGGGGCCAAAATTGAGCCAGTGGCATTGTGCCATGTGAGTTGAAACACCGAATTTAGCCTCCCCCAACCCGTAATGGGGCACGGGCCTGAGACAAACCAGAGTGGGCAGTGGGGCAGCCACATGAGAGACAGACCAGGGAAAACATAGTGTGAGGCACGTGCTGGTGCTTAGGTATGAAATAGGGATCTGTGCACCTAGCCTGAGGCAGCTGGGAGCATGCCCAGTACCAGATTTGTAGGCTCTTGGATGATTTAAATGACAGAAATTTAGGTGCATAGGATCTTTAGACACCATCAGAGTTAGGCAACAGCTGAGTGGCGGGGAGGGGTGGGGGGGCAGTGGAGGATTGGTGGCATCTAAATGTCAGATTCAGATACCTAAAGTGAAAGTAGCAGCTGAGAACCTAAATCTTTTTGTGCATCTAGCCGCTGGTGCCTAAGCTGCTTTGGTAACCCCACTAGACCCCTATCTGCATCCTCAGGTACTTAATACCTTAAAAAATACAACCCTAAGTCATTTTGGGAAAGATGCTTTTGAAAAACTTACCCAAAAGCTAATGTGCTTTAAAAATCAGTTTAATATAATCTGGGCCCACAAGCACTAAAATACCTTAATTGGAATAGTATGGGGCTTTGAATGCTATCACTACAAGGCAGGGTCTGACAGTCAGTGCTAAATGTCTGAACAGACCCAATGTTAATGATTATTGCTAAAGCCAGAAACAGATTGACTTTGCTCAGAAAATGTGTTCTGCACTCTAGGGGTAAGTGCTGTAATTCTGGGGGGAAAACAATCCGTTTTTTAGACATAACAGAAGGTGAATGAAGTGCAGAGCCTCGTTCTCTCAGCAATTGAGAGATGCTGCCCCCTCCCCCCATCATTCCTATTGGGACGTCACTCGTAGCCCTTTAGATTTCAGGATTGCTCCTGATATTTACAAAATCATTACATTGGCTGATCTGTATATTGAAACTGTAAACTCTTTCCCTGAGGAGCTGTCTCCCATGATATGTATATACAGTACCTAGCACAATACGGCCGTAGTCTTCTGTGGAGCGTCTAGCTGCTGCTGTATTACAAATAATCATGATAGTAACTGAGATACAATTATGTTGCAACGAGACAAGAACGAATTTGGATGAAAGTGTGATATGAGGAACAGGCCGAGTATCAACAGAGAGAGACTCCCAAACCTACCAATCTAAACTCCCAGTGTGGCAAGACCTTATTTACAGGTTTAATTTTACTACTACCTATAGCCCCATTGATTTAAATGGGTCTCAGCTAGAATTAAGCAGGTGGTAAGGTTGAGAGAGTGGGGATCTTGGGCTGAAACCCAGCTCAGAGACCAGAATCACTTTAGCCATATTATACATATATAAATTTGTGAGTATAGTGGCTGCAGTTGAGGGTATGATAGGGCAGAGGTGAGATTGTATGGGAAACCTCACTGTGTATTTCCGTACTAGACCATGTTAGCATTGCTTTTACTGTTAACCTCCACTCTGAATCTGCTGGGTAGTTAATGCAAAACAAACTACACTTAGGAGTGTAAGAAACTAAATTCTACTTTATTATTCCAAAGGATGGACAGACTCCTTTCCCCAGCCCAGCTCAGCATGGTACTTTACATCCCCAACCCAGCACATTGCTGCGCCCAAATCCCACATACAGCAGCAACAGAGCAACAGTTACAAACTGGTAGAAAAGTGCAGAGAATCCAGGAGAGATGCTGGGACCCAGTCACAGAGCAAACACTCCGAGAGCAGAGAATCCAAGGAACTGAGATTAGAGGGGTACAGTGTGGGGTGAGTGGGGCAGAATGTTTTGTCATCCCCATGCAGGACACTGGTAGATGGGGAGGGGATGACCAGCTGGGCTATCAGGCTCCCCATCTCTCTCTGGCCTCTATGATGGGGGTCAGTCTCGATTCAAGGCTGGCTCAGACTAGTTGGCTTCCCCATCTTGTCTCTGCCCAGCCTCGTCCTCTCAGCAATCGAGAGAGGCTGTCCCCTCCCCTCATATTTCATCTAGAGACATAATTTGTAGCCCTTTAGATTTCAGGGATGGCTTCACCCAGCACTCACAGGGCAATTCCTGTCTCTCTCTGGCATTGGCACAGCAAGTTCACAGTTCTCAGCATCAGCTCTCTGGCTCTCAAGAGAAAAGTCTGCAGTTTCCCAGCTGTTTCCCCACCCTCTCCTGCTCCTGACTGCATCTCACATCTCTGCAGGGATCAGGCAGTAACTCCATGTCCCGTTCAGTCTCAGCCTCTCAGAGTGTGAATCTAGCACTCACCCTCGGTATTCATGCTGAAAGATATTGATAATTTTCATTGTTCAAACACACAAAAATCTCATGACAAAGGATTAAGAAAGGTTAAAATAAATAAAAAAGACTCTTCTGGCAAATGATCATTTGTCTCGTAAAGTCCTCAATAAAACTGGGCTACATCCTATCAAATTAAACTAATATCAAACTATGTGACCAAACAGCCTTCAGGAAGAGAGAAAAGCCAATACTACAAGATGGGGCTACAAAACACTTTCAGGTTCATAAAGTGAAAACCCACAGAATCATAACTCCCAAAAGAAGGGAAACAAATGTATCCATTTTCCTCTGAACTGGCTAAACCTGCTGTACTCAGCACCTCCTCATTATTTGGTTGTGTCATTTACAAAAGTTTTAGTATTGTCCTAATGCAAAAAAGAAACAAAAACAAACCAAAGCTAAAATCTATCCATCTACAAATGTTCTGGACTTGGCTGGAAAAAGCCAGAAGACACTTTACCAATAGATGGAAACAGGGATTTAAGCTCAAACAGAGCTTTCGTGTTCATTTGAATTCCCCCTCCAAGTATGGGACACTTTCATCTCTAGCCCTCAGGCGTCTGTGTCAGGATCAAAAAAATCAAAGTGTGATTCCAAAGCATGGAGAGTAAAGAACATTGTGGCAAGTGCCACGCTGGGAGGTGGAGGGTAGAATAGGGAGACGATAAACTCTCCAAGGCTCGGACACAGATTGCTGTGTTGGGGTGGAGCATGACAGTGAAGGGGGGAGGAGGGAATCCCTCCAACTCATCCAATCACCCTCAAAAAACACAGAATCCAAACACCACATTTTCCTATCCCTGCTCCAGCAATTTTAGAATCTATTTAATTCTGGTCTCTAAGGGAGTCAATGTACAAAAAATAAATGTTTTTGGCATAACCTGGAGCAATGTGAGACTATGTGGGAATGAGACAATCTCTCCCCAAAGGGGGAACTCAGTGACTCTAACAATCACTCTGCTAATGGGGGGAATCAGAATATATAAGATGGTTGGGGTCAGTCTAGACTAGGAAAAGTGGGGGAGGGTCAGGGGAGATTTGCTAACTAATCCCAACCACTTTTCCCACCACAGACAGACCCTCAGAATCTGATGCTGTGCAGGCAGAGGTGGGATCCCGAAACCTTTACACCTCCCACAAAAGACGGTGTGGAAATAAGTCTCTCTTAGTGGTGCTTTCTGAATGCAGAGGGGGCAGGGAAAAGGGGCAGAGGGGATGAGTGATAAGAGGCAGCACCTCTCTTCCCTGTACTCTCCTTTCTTATCCCATGATCTCTAACACTTGATTTCCTCAGCACCCACTTTTTCCCACATCCACCAGACCCAACCATTCAATCCCCAGTTTCTTCCCCCAAACCCATCCCTCCTGGTCCCTTCACATTTACTTCCCCAGAACCCAGCACCTCACGGGATTTAGGGAGGGGAAGAGCTGCTAGCCCCCAGGGACACTCACCCTACTGGGACCAGCTCCAAGTAAGTGAGGGAGCCCGTCCAGGGGTTCCTGAAAAATGGGGGGTGGGGCAGGTGTCCAGAGTGAATGACGAGCCTGGCCCAAGTATCCCTCTCCTAGTCTCCGTGGAAGGGGCATCGCGTCTTGGAAGGGAAGGGAGAGGGGGAAAATTCATCCAGGCTGAAGAAGCTTCTGGAGGAGTTTCACTCTCCCTTCC